CTACTTCCCTTCCTCGGATTCAGCACTGGATGTCATTGGTATAGTATGCAGTCATTTAAAGGGAGAAGAATCACAAAGGTGGTGTTGCTATAAGCCAAGGAAGGCCAAAGACCCTGAGAAGTCCCGTGAGCCTGAAGACTGGTGGCCATGCTGGAATGAAAATCTCCCCAAGTCCTCCAGGCACCAAGGACAGCCTCTGGGAGCCCAGCAGCACACTGTGAGCCCATAGCTCCTGGCTGGAAATTTTAAAATCCAGTTCTGTTGGGAGGAGCTTCTGGTGGGCAATATGCCTTTAATTTTGTCTTGTGAGGCAACAGATAGACCACTGACCCTGATTTTCTAACGCTGTCAATGCTCTTAACGCATCCTTTCCACATGGTGAAGGCTGCTAAAATTCTGACCCAATTTCTTTAAAAAATATTTTTAGTTGTAGATGGACACAATACCTCAATACCTTTATTATATTTTTTTATTTGTATGTGGTGCTGAGGCTCAAACCCAGTACCTCACACATGCCAGGCAAGCACTCTGCCACTGAGCTACAACCCAGCCCTCTGGCGCAGTTTCATAAGTTCACATCACTTTTCAGTTAGACGGCAGATGAGCCCACTTCCTGACTGAGTCGTACTTCGGTAGGTCTCCAGATTTCTCCTGCATGCCCTTGGGGGTGACCTTTGCTTTCTTAGGTACAGCCTAGCCACGGGCAAGCTACCACAGCAKTTCCAGCTGATCTCTCAGAAAGGAATCACAGACAGGGTGGCAAAAATCAGATCTGAAAACACCTTACAAAATAATTGGGAGAAGAATCTTAATCTTCTCTTTGGAACCATGAAAAACACTTAAAAAGGTGAGCCTCAAGATTTTCAACTAGAAAACTGATCCTAAGTGTTTCATGGTTTAGAAGCAGTACGGCACTTGGGTATCCTTTCTAATAGAAACTGATTCCCAGAGCCATGACAACTAAGSCGTGTTCAGTCCTACAGAGAGGCTGTGGCTCCGTGCAGAGCTGATTTCCACTCCCTCAGAATCCCCACCATCCCCTGTGCGTGGCCTGGGTCATTCAGCACTTCCACATTACGTGCACTCACTAATCCAACACAGTTATTTCTGCCTAGTATGCACCAGGCATGTTMTGGGAGCTTGGGCTACATTCATGCACAAAAAAAGATCCACACCCTGTGAGCTAGTATCCTAACGGGGAAGACAGACCATGATAGATAGACACACGGCAGCAAGGAGCCTGCTGTGATGGAAGGTGGTGAACGCAGGGCGGGAGGCGCAGGGCAGGAGACCTAGGGCACGGGGCCTGTTGTCGCCCTCAAACTGAGGTGCCAGGGAGGACCTCCTGGAGAAGGCCCGTGTTGTGTGTGTGTGAATATAGGTCACACGTGTACTTACGTGTATGTGTATAGATGTGTGTGTGAATGACCTGGGCATCACCAAAAGGGTTTGTATCATGGCCAAAAGGTAAAATGCTCTTAGTCTTCAAAAGCAAACCTTCTGACTGAAAGAGCCCTTGGTTTTGAGCTCTGACCTGTATGATATGAACTCACAAAGCTGCAGATTGAAAACCCTGGAGGGCAGGTGCTGGGTAGGGGCAGGCTGCTGGAACCCACCACAGCCACAGGGTATCRAGGCCCAGGAATGGTCGCCCTCGGTGTGTTGTGAAAAGTGCAAACGTATGACTCAGAAAGAAGGTCTTTGTCATGGCCTTGTAGATTGTAAAGGCATCTAAAGCCATTTATATATAATATAATTCCAACATGTCACTTATAGGTTGATACACGAAAGACCAATGGAGAATAAAGGGATCATGGGAGCATGATTCACAGAGCTGCCCACTGTCCAGCACGTGTGGTCACCTCTCCTGTTTCTTTGTAGATCGACTGTGTTTTTAGCCTGGAAACTAGCTCTGGAATTTAATGCATGTTTGGAGTCCTCGGCTYGGTGCCCTCTGCCTGCAGGACGTGCCTCCCATCTGCACACTTTGACCTTTTCTTGGTAGCTTCTGTTCACGCCCCGTCCCTCTGGCTCCGCCTTCCTGGGCCTGCCTCTGGCTGGGCAGCCTTGCCTCCTGTCAGGCAGCCTTGGTGTCTCCCTCGGGTTCCCCAGCAGGCTCCCGTCCTTGCTGGCTGACGTCTGTGTGGTGCTTGGCGGGATGGTGCTCTCGACCCTCAGTTGTGGACACTGAGGTCCACCTCCCCAGCTTGTTTGTTCCCCTCCCACCTCAGCCATGGGGCCCAGACCCCAACCCACCTCCGAGTCCTGGCTCTTCCTACCGGATTCTGCGCCTCCCATCCCCTGCATTTTCACTGGATGTGAGCAGATGTTTTTCAAGGCTTAGGGATCAGAGGTCTTAGCTGCCTCGCTAACTCCTATTAAAAAACTGGTTTTCACCTGAGCATTACCTCATGTTCCTGGAAAGCAATTTAGCTCATTCCCTTTTTCCCTAATTGGTAGACAAAGGGAAGTAAATAGATGCTAAGTTATTTGGTGAAGACAAATCAGAAGTTTGTCAAGTATTGTTAAAGGTGATTTTTTTTTAAGCCAGGATAAAACTGGAAAGATATTTAATGAATTTGTGTCAGAAACATTGACCTTCTACTTCCTTATATCTTAAGACAGCATTTGATCTTTGTAAATTTTCTTTTTTTTTTTTTTTAATATTTATTTTTTAGTTCTCGGCGGACACAACATCTTTGTTGGTATGTGGTGCTGAGGATTGAACCCGGGCCGCAGGCATGCCAGGCGAGCGCGCTACCGCTTGAGCCACATCCCCAGCCCTGTAAATTTTCTTAATAATTCATCTGTGTTTGGGGATTAACCTTTAACGCTTTATGGGAAAAGTAGATTCTGCCACCCTGTGATAAGTTTATAGAACTAGGACTTCCAAGAAAATATTTTAAGGGCTAGTTGTTCTCTTAGGGAAAATAGATTCATATTTTCCTGATTATTTAAATAATATGACTTTGTTAAAAAGTTACAAAATGTTAATACGACATTAATAATACACTTGATTTGGTAATATCTGTCTGCGATCTGAGTTGTCAGGTTTTGGCTGATAGCTTTGTCGGGTTTGGGGAGGGTGATTCGGCTAGAGCTGAGGGGCTCCGGGGTAAGCTGACGTAAAGGAGCATGGGTGTCCCCTCGCTTCAGCGGCTCTCCCACTGGGACAGGTGTGGCAGCAGCAGGAGTCACCCAAGGTGTCTCTGCTTGTCCCTAGACACCCATCGCCCCACTCACAGTGTGGCTCGCTGCAGATGAGGGACTCGTCGGAGAAATGACCCGGACCCCAGTGCTGTCCAAAGCAGGTGGCTGACGGAGGAGAGTTGCGCATGTGCAGAACTGACYGCCTGTCCAAGGTGCACCGAGTGACAGGAGCCACCAGGAGCTAGGCCAGCTTCCCTCTGAGGACCCAGAGTGCGGTTTGGACAGAAACACCCCTGTCCCGCTGCCTCTGGCAGCAGAGTCTTGGGGTCGAATACTCAGGCAGGATTCTGCTTTCCCCCTGGTTTATTGAGAGCCTGCCGAGGTCCAAGCTGTGCCCTGGTCGCCTACGGCATGCGGCATGTCCTCCTGAACGAGGAGTCCTCAGGTATGTGCCAAGAAGCTCTTCAGAACAAGAGCAGGCGGACCTGAGAGGGGCTCGGGCAGTCTGACTTCACGGTGGCTYTCCTCCACGGGGCCTCTGACAATTTAGGACGAAATTTAAATGAGGCATTCTATTTTCTCGTTTTTTTATTTTTTATTTTATTTYATTTTTTGTAGTTGTAGATGGACAGAATACCTTTGTTTTATTTGTTGTTTATTTTTATGTGGTGCTGAGGATCGAACCCAGTGCTTCATGCATGCTAGGCAAGGCTCTGCCACTGAGCTCCAGCTCCTATTTTCTCTTTTATTACAGTGTTTTCTACCTTAAAATACATTAAATACATCTTACTATGACTCAAGGTAACTCTTCGTGAGACCACTTGCACTTGGCCTGCGTGATGAGGGACGCCTCATTCCAGGTCAGTCTGGTGACGTTGCTATAAGCTATGACAACCCCACTTCCATATGCAAAGATATTATAAAGAACCTATTATACCTACTTCATATGTATGTGTGTATATGAAATAKATCATATATAATTAAATATATATAAATGATAAGTATGTATAAAATACATGTATGGATGAAAGCAGGTGTGTGTACACGTGGCTATATAATTAATGCCCTAGATATGAACTCAAATCCCAACTCCCACGTTAGTGACGGATCAAGATGCTTTATGTTCACGCTGGAAAAGCTAACCCTGGCTGAACGCAGGATTGACTGAGAAGTTCTGGGGACACGAGAGACAGTAGGGGGTAGAACAAGGCACCCTCCAGYGCCTCAGGAGCACCCACTCCCTCCCCAGGGCTCTCAGGCTTCAAGTTCACCCAGCCAAGGAGGGCCCACTGGGGTGTYGGGCACAGGGCTGTCCCCCATTTGGAGGCACAGACAGGAAACACCTCTTGCTCACGTGGTGTAGACCATGCAGTTTGGCGACAGGCCCAAGCAAGCACCCTGGAAGTCGAACCAGTTAAAACAATTGAGCCACAAACATGACCCTGAGACCCTGAGTCACAGCCCGCATGGTGGGTCCACCTTAGTGATAGCTTGCTCAGGACAGACCCTAACTCACAAACCCACACACCAAGCAAAGGGGAAAACGTGGGTTTAGGTCTGAAGAATTCTGGAGACTTCAGGAACCTGGAGACACCAGCTCCTGCCTCCCAGGAGCCCTAGGAACCTGAACAATTTACCAGGCCCTAGGAGGAGGGAAGAGTTCACACCCACCCCCCCAGGCCCGTTCTCACCCAGCTTTGCCACACCTTGCAGCAAGTGCAGATACCCCAGCTGGGCCCCTGGATTCACAGCTCATTCCTGAGTCCCCTCCCGAAAAACAGCACTACCCTGTAGGTGACAAATATGTGACCAGCACGGATGGCTCTTAAGAAGTCCCAAAGTATAAACAGTCAGGGTGGGTTCTGTTCGGAATAGGCCATGCCCAACTGTGCTTCCTCTAAGTCTACTCCTGTGAGGTGCTGCCTGGCAGTCCTCCTGTCCAGCTCTGCATCTACCCGGCACACTGGACGTCAGGGGAAGGTCAAGAGGAAGGTGTGGAGAGCAGGCCATGCCTATCCCGAGTGATTCCACGGTGTGTAGAACAG